CTTTAATTTGGAATGATTCTTCTATAAAAATTGCAAAGCCCTAAAAATGCTCTCAATTGCTTAATCTTTTTGGGTGCTGGAAAATCTTGAATTGCGCAAATTTTATCGGGATCTGTCTTTATGCCTTTTGTTGAAATTATAAAACCCAGCATCTTAATTTCTTTACAAATAAATTCACATTTTTGCAAATTGCACGTTAAGCCAGCTTTGTTAAATTACTTAAAACAATGTCAATGTGCTCCAAATGTTTATCTAAGGTTCCTGATGTTATAATGGCTAAATCATCTAAGTAATTCACACAAAATTATTGGACTTCTGGTCCTAATATTAAGCTCATGGCTCTACTAAAGCTTCCTACCGATGTTTTTGATCCTTGTAGCAGAACATTATATAGGACATATGACCTTCCATTGAACGTGAATCCAGTATATTTTCTACCATCTTTATTTATTGGAATTTGAAAATATGCATTATTTAAATTAATGGTAGTAATATAATTCGCTCCATGAAATGAATTCAAAACATCTAATTGTATAGGTGGCTTCTCTGTTTCTGCAATCATTTTCTTATTTATGCTTCTGGCATCTAATAAGACGCTAATTGAACCATTTTTTTTAAGTGTGAATGTTAATGGGCTACTGTAAGATGTCGATGCCCTTGTGATGATACCAGCTTGTTCCATCTCATTTAATTTCTCTTCCATTTTCGATCTATATGCATATGGAATATAAGATCTAGTAACTATAGGTTCATCATCGATCATTTCAATTTTATGTTCGTAGCAATTCGCTCTACCCAACTTGCTCGAAAATATATTCTTATGCTTTTCCAAGATCTTACTTAGCTTAGCTTTTTCAGAGGCCTCCAATTTTGATCCTATCTTTATATTTGTTAAAGGATCATCAGTACTTTGTTCAACGCAGTTGTTATATAATACAGAATTACAGTTATATTTAAAAGGTATGAAGTAGTCTTTGTTTTTCAACTTAAATTCTATACCAATTGCCGTATTTTTAAAATCTATCAATATTTTATTTTTCTTGAGCCAGTCAAACCCCAATATTAATGGTCTTATTAAATTATTAACAATTAAAGTTTGTGTTTCAAAGACTACTTCATCTATTTTTATAGGCAATATGATCATCTGTTGTATTTTTGTGCTGCGCTGCCCAACAGCACCCTTTATTTGCATTGCTTTAACTGGCATTACTGATATTTTGTGATTACTACTTTTAATTTGTAAAAATAAACTCTCTGAAATGCATGTAATATCGCTCCCAGTATCGAGAAGCGCATCTATTTCTTTATCAAATATTGAAACTTTAATTTCTGACCTCATATTCCCTATAAATTCCTTTTGATATTTATCTTCATCTTCCTCGAAAACAGTTTGCACTAATAACTCTGTTATGAGTAAATCTGACTTGGTTTTTAAAGTCTTAATTATACTATTTACATTATTGTTATGACCAAGTCCTTCTCTATTAAAATGTGCTTTTAAAGAAATAGGTTTTCGCAAACCCCTATTATTTTTACCAAGTGTTTGACCAGGTCTCTACCCCAGCTTTAATAATATATTTAATGCTTTGTTCCCTTTCACATTATAAGGGATCGAACCGGGAACTAGTTCGACCTCTATTGCTCTAAATTTGGCTCTGGAGCCGAAACATTTACTTGTTCATTAGTGACTTGTATTTCATTCATTTCGTTAACCTTCTTTCTTCCTTCTTCAGGTTTACGCCATGATTTATATGATTGCTGTATTTCTTTTTGTTTTCGCTCTGCATTATTATTAAATTTTCGTTTTTTCTCAGTATTGTAAGGTTCACGATCTTCTTCTTGTTTATCAATGTCATCTAAATTTCTCAAGAAATCTGTTGTCTCAATTACTGTCTCAATTTTAGCTATTCTCCATAACTGCTGCACTGTTTTAGGATAATGTCTAATAACATCAGCAACTAATTGTTTTTCTGGTATCGGATATGATAATGTCTGTGCTTTTTCAATGACATAAAGAAAGGAACCAACCATGGTGGGGTGCGTATATCTACTCCATTTATTTTGTACAAGGAATCTTCTTACTTTATTTTGTTCCTCTTCGCTCCAAAATACTCTTAGAAAGTCTGCTTTAAAATCATCAAAAGTTTTCCAACGCACACTATTAATCCGAGCCCAATATTTGGCTTCACCTACTAAGCACTCTTGTGCTATTAATATTTCAAGTCCATTAGATGGGACTTTCTTTAAATAATTGGTGAGATCTTCTAAAAATGTTACTGGATGAGTATTCCCATTTTCAAATTTCGGCTTGTTTATTGTCACATTATGTATATTATATACAATACTCTGTTTGGGATCAGTAATATATGAGGTGCTCGCCCCGTACACCTCTTCTTGGTTTACTTTAATTTGGTGATCCTTCGTTTGGCTGATAAACTTTTCTTCGAGATCTTTTATTTTAACCTCAAAGGTTTTCACTACATTCTTAATTAATTTTTGAAGTATTTTTAATTCATTTTTAGGCTTAGCCTTCACTAAATTTGGACTTTTCTTTGTTTTAGCCATTTTTATATTTATATACTTTTCCAGTTTTTAGCACTGTTATGTCTTTCACTTATACAAATGTTACTGAGTACTTTTCACTTAATTCACTTTTTAGTTTATTTTGTCTTAAACTATACGCACACCATCTATAACAAACAAAAGATATTAATATTAAAGCCCCACCCCCAGACTCTCAACCACCCTCAGCAAACACCATCCTCCAAGGCACCTTTCCATTTCACGGACAACAAATTGTAGGCATAACGCCTACTTCATAATTCTTATACAGACGACCTTCTTTTTAAAATATATCCTGGTCACGGCACCAAATTGTAACGGGAAGCGTTACAATTTGGTGCCGTGACCAGGATATATTTTAATCCCTCTCATAATAATAAATATATTAGATTAAATATAATTAATTCTCCTTTATAATAAAAATTATATATATGTGACTAGGATAAATAAAATATGTTTTGGTCTTTCTAAATAATCTTTCTAAAGGTTTAATAATAGGCCGTTTGTAATATTTTGGCGTGATCGTCTTAGTTAGGACCCTTATTTACGTTGTATTTGTTTAGTAACTCAGTTCTTTTAGGTGTCTTTTGGAAGAATGAATATTCGCTAGAGCAATTGAAAGCTGTTGGTAGTGCCTTATAAGCTAAGTGAACCCCGTTCACGAAGACAGGGCTCGAGAAAGGTTAAGAACATAAAACGTCCCAATTCCACTTGTATCAGGTTTACATTATTAACTTAATATTATTTATCCCTTCCCGCTCGGAAAAGGCTCAAAATATATTTATACAAAATACCCGATACAAGGGCTTCGCTCTCCTACATTTATTAAAAAATGTAGGGGAGGCACACGGCCCCACACACGCCGTGCACGGTGAGCCCCAACCATTTTGATGCACTCCCCCCGAAGGAAAAACTAATTCGGGAACTGGACCGTAGTCCACAGTAAAATAACTGGCGAACCAGTAAAAGAGGCTTGGCCCCTTGCTAGTGCGTAAGCACAAACATCGACCGAAGTCGCGCATGTCAATGCGTGTAAACGCCAAACAGAATACGAACAAATCCAGCCACAGTGAATGTACGTCACACGGTATAGGCAAATAGGCACACTGGCCGTAAACCCTCCGTGAGCCCCACCACCTGCCAGACCGCCGCTCCTGCAGACGTGATGTAAGTGTATGGCATCACCACCAATTGCATGATCAGCATGGCTACTAGCCGCAGAGCGTGTCATAAGTCTACCGCTCACCTCAAGGGAAATGGGACCCCATTCCCTTGAGGTGAGCGGTAGACTCACCGTTGTGCAGCTTTCGGCCGCAGCCTTGAGAGTCTCCTCAGATCCTCCCGCCAGCTACCACCCGCATGAGCTTGAAGAACCGATAACCGATGGGGAAGAAAGGTTCTCGAGTGGCAGCCTCGTACCGGTAGGCGTAGTGTAGGGCGACCTCCCGCTAGATGGAGTGACGACCTGGTAAGACAAGCAGGAAGTCGATGGATGCAGGTGGCTCAGGACCGTGCTTTGTGGCATTACTTGGGGGAGCTCGAAAATTGAGCTTGAGCTCGAAAATTGACAAAATTCCGAACTGCGTTGTGGCCATTTTTTTAAATAATATGTGGGTAATCGTCGCCACTGGTACGTATGCGTTATAGGGGCACGAGTGAAACAACCGCTTGCAAGTAACACACTGATATATTTCATAATTGTTGACAAGCATATACGTAGCCGTACACAGGTACACACCATTTTGTAAATGTTTTTTTAAATTGTTTTGTTACCTTTATTGCTCTTGTTTTTTAAATGTTGGTGCAAGTTTCACTAACACCCCGTGTTATATGCTGTTATTTGATATAAAATATTAGTTACAAAAATACGATTAATATTTCCAGTAAGCATTGAACTAATGAACTAATGAGATGTATAACCGTGAGTGGTGAATAAACGTTAAGTAGTTTCATTCATGTTGAAAACTTATAACATGTATTTAAGATTTCATCGTTTTTATTAAAAATATGGCTGTCGTTTCGTTAGCCTAAGTATTTAGTACCTTCTGTCTTATAGAACATAACATTAACATTTACATAATTAAATGATTTTTATTTAAACTTATTTGAACATAACTTTGAATTAAATATGTATAGAACTTCTGCTTCTATGAGCCTCTTTTTTCTAATGTCATAATAAATGAATTATAGTAATTAATAAAAACAACGAAATAGATATAAACACCTAATTATTTAAAATATTAAAAGCTAACACTATTTATCGTAATTGTATAGTCTGCTACATTCTATTACGATTATTCGCTCAATATTTAAGTTGACTTTCATATCGGTGATCTGAACGGTTATCGATATTCGAAATCAATACAAAAATGCAAAATCTGTATTTAGTTCAAAAACGCCTTCTCTTAAGTGTAAAAATCTTACTTTCAGCAAGCAATATGGACATGGATTACGACCGCAAGTTCGAGGAGATGAAGAAGTACATCCCATTTTTGGAAAGCATGATTAAAAGACTGGAGAGCACCGGCACAACATCAACAAATCCAAGACAGGCACAGCTTGCTAAAATTAGATCTTTAAGGTACTTGTTATTCAATAAGAAAAAAAAAAGGTTTATAAACTTTTTATTATTGTTTTTTTTATTGCAAAATATTTTGAACATCTCATATATAATCTGTAGTTAAAGTTGATATGAAAAAAAATATATAGAAATCTTTGGGTTTATGATTGCAGTAATTATATTTACTTATTTTTAGATAACGAAACACTATTATAAAATCATTAAATATTTTAAATTTGATATATGCTATGCTACTTTTCTATGATAGATAACACAGCAGTAAGGTGTTTTAATTAGGTAGATATCTAAAAATACTAGTTAAAACTTGTTTAACAATATATTTTTTCCAGAATGAAAATGGAGAATTTGTTGAAATGTGAACAAGTATTAGTAAATTTGTATGCAAAAGTCGAACAGGTAATTAATGGTTTATTAATGATAAAAGTTACTAGTTTATAATAGAAATAATATTTTTACAAGTTTTTTAACCGTTTTTTTGTTTAATTTTAGAGAGATTTGTTCACGGATACAAAGAGTGATATGAATAAAAGTGTTAACACACAAAATGTCGAATTGGATTTTGTGCAAAATAAACTTAAAACTGTAGCATCAAAATTGCAAGATCCAGAACCATTGCCTGAGATAGCAAGAGCTAGTCAGACCGAGGAAACCTGTACAGCTGACAGTAAGGAACCAGCGTTGTTTCAAAGAAGACCAAACAAAAATTCTATATCCCCAACTCGAGGTTCTCTAGATGGTAGTAGAGATATTTTATCACCATCAGGTAGAAGAAGTTACACTCGCGTTCTTATGTCTCTAAATACTAAAGATATATTGTCAAGGATAATTAATTGTAGTGACGGTGACGTAGATATAGATACATTACGAGAATTAAGAACTCAAATTCTTTCCGAATTAAAACAAACGGGTGCAAAAGATGAAGTTGAAGAAGGGGAACTATCTGATAGCGAAAGTGAAGTTATTGAGAGCATATATGGCAGCTTAGTGATAATGGATAAAGATCAAGGTAATACAAGCTGTGAAAAAAAATCATTAGATCTAGAATCGACTGCAAAACAAGAAGTTGTTCATGAAATAGATATATTACAGGCATTAAAAAATGAAATATTAAGTGAGAAAATATCTTTAGACGATTCTGAAACCGTGACACCCCCATTACATCAACCAAAAGTTACAAAAGTGGCTAATATAGAAGAAATAGTATCGAAGAAAAGGTTTTCCATTGAGAAGTATAAACAAAAGTCTATATCAGCGTCCAAATCGTCGACTTTAATAAACGATGCTAATAGTAATGCCTATAGAGATGAACTCTCAAAGAAACAAAGCATAAAATTAACTGAAAAGGAATTTGAACGATTTAATTTATCAAGTAAGTTAGCACTAGGAGAAAGCTCTAAGGATAAAGAATTTGGAAAAAGAAGTCCAACTAATGACGATATATATGGTGACTTAGCGCCAAAGTCACCAGATCATGAAGACTTTGCTGATACAGGGATTAAGCCGCCAGTAATAATTCCAGCAGACGCTCCAATATGTTCAGTTGTAGAAAAACATGATCCTAATGACGCTGTTAGTAACGATTTTCAAAATCCATTATACAGCGAAGCCAATTCTACTATGTTTAATCGTTTAGAGTGTTCACAAACACCTATGAATTCATTTGGAACCTCAGATTGTCCATCAACTCTTACCCATACTTTTGGACTATTAGAAACACCAATGACTCCAATTCATACATTTGGTAGATCTGACATGCCTATGACTCCCGTGCCCTCTTTTGGTAGAGCTGATTGTCCGCCTACACCTATTCATCCATTTGGTAGAACAGAAGTAATGATGACGCCAAGCCATCCATTTGGGGTAACGGACTTTTCTCAAAATCAAATGCCATCACAAATGTCATCGATTAGATACAACAAGGTCCAGGATCCAAAAATTAATAGAAGTTTGGAATACGATAATTTGTCAAAATACAACGATATGAAAGATTGTGGCAAATATCAAGAACGTAATTTTGATTACAGAAATTATAAATATGACGCACCAAAACGAGCCTATGCAGATTCATATCGAAACTACGGCAGGGAACAAAGTGTTGGTCGTAATGATAAAAATGCAACATTTGAGCGAATTGAGAATCGTCACGGTGAAAGACCTCGTCGTGAAAACAGTAGTGGACTTTTAAATAGAAGTTATGAAGTTGATCGGAATTATTCTCATGACCGCGGTAAAGCTTATAGAGATAGAGATCACCGTATTGATAATGACGGTGGTAAAATTTATTACGATCGTGATTCGCGTTGGAATTATAGAAGAGAACATAGCGTTGGCCGGGCTGTTCCAGAGAATAGACACATAGGTAAACATTATGAAAGAGAAGTCCGACCTGAAAACTCATTATGTGTTCAATCATATGCAGGTTTTTCGTTCACTATTGACACGAGCGTTAGCAGAAGTTTTCAGGAAAGTATTGAAAACCTAAAGAAAGATTCAATATCTGATTCTAACTTTGATGTAAGAAGAAGACGTGCATCTAGCATTGGAAGATCTTTGATTCGCGAACCTAGTATTGGAAAGGAGTTGCCAAGTTTAGGTAATTCTCATATATCTAATAATAAGAATATTAGTGACCTATTTCAGAATGATGAAAATAACAAACACAAAAATCATGTTGACGTAATCAGTGAAAATAACGGTGAGGTTTCTACAACAGAAAATGAAAACCCATTAGTTCAGGCAGATATTCTTTCTCCATCTAAAGAAACTATTAGCCAATTAGAATCATGTTCTACACCTGATAGTACTATAGATGTAAATGAGAATACCCAAGATAAAGTAGGTGAAGAAACGGTGCCTGATAGTACTAATGAATTGGCTTGTGAAATAAGCTCTGATATTACGTCTACCCATGATTCACATGAAGTATGTGAAAAAGCACAAACTGAAACTAGGGTATCACGTATGGAGTTATCACATCCTACTGATCATATTGGAAGTTTGCTATCTATTTTAAAAGATAAATCAAAAATAAAAGAACTACTTACAATGTTAAAAGATCAACCTAGTGAAAATGAAAAACTGAAGAAGAAGTTAGAAAAGCTAAGTGAAATAGTCTCCGATGATGATGATTCACCACACGATGAATCGAATTCGGTGCATAATGTAAAAATAAATATTTCGGCTTCTAATAATAATAATGAATTAGAATCCGTTGGGAATAGTGGTGTACATGCTGATACAACACTCGCAGCAGATAATGATTCTTGTGAAAAGAACGAGCAGAGTATGCGAAACAAAAATAATGTAGAGGACATTTTAGATGTCCAATTTAAAGACCGTGATTGCTCATGGTCTTTAAATGCTACAAGTGCAGAGAACTGCGAAGGCAAAGAGCCTTTCGAAGACACAAAGCAAAATACTAAAAATGATGATGGTAGAGTAGAAGCTGTATCATGTAAAAAATCCACAAAGATTAAGAAATCTACTAAAAAGGCAAAGATTAAAGTAAAAAATATTACATCGGGTGACAAAAAAAGGCTTACACGTTCTGAATCAGCTAATTTGAAAATGAATAAACCAGCTAATATAAAGAACGGAATTTCTTCCAGGGAATTGAAACAACTTCAGGATGATATCAAAGAGATGTTCTTGCACGATGATGTCTTTAATGCTGGTATAAGAATGTGCCGTTTGGCTAAATTGGTTGAAGATAAGCCCATAGACAAAGGTGAAACACAGAATAATGAAAATAGTCCTGTTGTTATTCTTGAAAAAATTAAAGAATGTTCGGAAGAGACAACCATAAAAGGCAAAACTTCAAAGAAAAAAGCAACTTCCAAATCAAAAATGTTACAGAAAGAAGTATTTGATAGCGAAAATAAGACAGAAAGTAGTAGCGAAAATATAAATTCAGAACTTAAACTGCCTATTAAATATAGACCTGGGCCTAAATCGAAAACAAGACTGCTAGACAAGCAAGCGGAAGTAGACCCTTATATTTTTGAATCTAACTCAGTGAGTGAATCAAATGCTACAAATATTAGTGAAACTAAACCTCATATTAGCTCCGACTCAGAATGCGAATCTCTTGAATCATCTAAAAGTTTTGGAAGTACAGAACTTTTAGTAGAATTAAAGAAAAAACCAAAACGAAAACGTCGAGGATGGCAAGCAGGTGTAATTAAACCTAAACATAAGAAAAAGAAAACTGACCTTTGTCACTCTCAATCTGATACAAACATGCAAGTTATGCCTCAAATTCCTGACTTAAATTGTTTTACTAATAAAACGTACTGTTTCTATAAAAATGTAAGTGTCTATTCGTGTCGTCTTTGCCTTTATAATGGCAATGATATAGTTCATCATTACAAGAAGCAACATCCGCACTCAGAGATTCCCTTGTCCCGAATGAGCCCAGAAGTTGCTAAAGAGGCCATAGAACAGTGTGAAGAAATAAATTTTCACGCTATTAGTAAAGTAACTACCGATAAATACGTCTGTCTATTCTGTTTTAAAGAATTAAAAAACACCATAAAGAAAAAAACCGTATTGGAAGAATTTTTTTGGCACGTTGTCAGTATGCATACGGGTGAATACAAGCAACTATGTTCGGAATGTATTAATGTCTCTGGATGTCCATCCAATTTTGACATTCCACCTCCTCCCAAAGAGCAAAAAGGTCAACTTATAGGTTATATTTGTGGAAAATGCAATTTTACACAAATATCCCTTGAAAATTTAAAGACTCACGTCGTTAACCGTCATAATGATGAGCAAACTGAAGTTTATACAATTAATTTAGCAGTCATGTCAAAGAAAACTTTGTTGGCTTTCAGTAAGTGTACATCAGAACAGCCTAGGACGCTAAGGAGCAGTCGTTTAAATCAAAGTACTGTGGAAACAAATGACGAACATAGTGATTTTAATGAGAGCAGTGATAATGCAACTGAACCAAATAAAGTAACAACAATTCCATTGAAAGAGGAAACTCTAATCGAATTGCAGAAAAACAAACGTAATAAAATTCAATCACGAATTACCTTTGAAAATGATGACGCTACCAACGAGTTATGTGAATTAAACGAGAATAAAAGTGTAAAAATTGAACAGGAACACGTAATTAATGCTCAAGATTCGTCACCATATAACGAGCCGGTTGATGATGCACCCATTGCATATATGGTAGCTGAATCTCATGAGACCATCAAGAATGTAGAGTATAATCAGCCACCTACATCAGATGATATTTTGGATTACCCTCATTTCAAAATCAACTTTACAGAAGCTGGTACCAAGGAATATGTGTGTTGTATAAATGGAGTAGAAAGTCACTATCGGACAGCACTATTAATATCATTTAAGAAACATGTTCAGATAAAACATCCAGAAAAATGGGATGGCTTTTGTTTTCTGTGTAAACTGATAGTCACTCCTCAAGGAAATCACAATTTCAAAGACTGTTTGCAGCATTTTCTTGACAAACATTTTGATAATTTTCCGACTATGGAAAAAGTGGACGATAAAAAGAATAATATGGAAACGTCTGGTGTGAAACCAAAAAAGAACTATTTGAATGTTAGACCGTTATCAGAGCTTATATCTCAATCAGAAATTCAACCAGAACAACATAAACTGCCCATTATAGAGAGTGTTGTTAGTTTAGGAGGCTCGACAGATGAAGCATCTTCGGGAATTAATGTCGATACAGCCGAAATAAGAAGTAACGAAAAAGAATTTAAATATGAAGAAGCGCAAGCGGAAATAATTGCAAAGAAATATAAAGTTGTGTTAGATGTTATGTTAAACCGAGAGAAATTAGTTCATATATTTAAGTGCGCTGGTCGATTTTGTAGTTATTCGACTGACAATGCTGAAGATGCTCTCCGTCACGCGGTAACTCATGAACGAGTAGGTGGAGAAAATTCATTGAGTTGTACTTATTGTGATTTCGATTCTTCAAAGAACGCCGTTGATTTAGTCACGCATGTTTTTAAAACGCACGGTTGTTGCCAATATGTGTGTGGTCATTGCTTCTATCGAAGTGCAGCGAGTCAACTTGTTCGTGCGCATGCGTCAAGAATACACGGAAAGGCGCCTGGACAGAGCGTTATTCTTAGGACTACAGTCACAGCACGCTCTGATACGGAATATAAGATTTTGCCTCGAGAAATTGCTGTTCCCTTCTTCGCTTGCAACCAAAGTGGGTATAATTACACAATTCATCCTAATTTTTTATTGAATTATTTTCTACTTAATATTAACTAAAATAAATGGTTTCAGATGTAATGGATGTCAAATGCAATTTTAAAACCTACACGTCGGGTAAATTTTATGAACATTTGCAAATAAGACATCAGTTGGATACATCATTTTTGTGTTTCGTTAGTATTCCTTTTTTTAATACATTTGTTTCGTTTATACCAAAATATTTGACGAAAGTTTCTTGAACGGTTGTTTTGTCAATGAAGAAAAGCATGTTCGGCTGATGTTATTATTTAAGTAGTATGTTTTCAGAATTCATTAGACAATATCTTTTTTACAGATGTGCTCAGAGGTATTTACAAAACCTGTAGATTTGCTTCAACATTTTAAAATTCATGGATTTAAACTCTATCAATGCACGTGGTGTGTACACGGTGCTGAAAATGAAACTGAGTTACTGGCGCATGCCTCAGAAAAACATCCAAATAAGCAACCTCAAGCTTATCTAAGAGTAATTACTAACAAGGTACGTAATTCACAATATTCAACTTCTTTTTTTAAGAATTAATTTCAAAATTAAGGTTTCTTTTATTTTTATAGGAAGGAACTCCTGGATTTAGGGTGCTTCCTTTGGCTCATCTTAATAATTCAAACATTACTACAATTGATGTGAAACCAAATAATGTTAGAAATAATCCTGAAAGGGAAGCAGAGAGGTCAATAGACTTAGAAAAACTTATTGGCCAAAAAACACAAATGATTGAATCCATGGTAACGTCTTCCCAAAAGGAAAGTACCGAAAACTGTACATTTAAGGAACAAGAAACAGTTAGCATGCCTTCATTTGAACTTGGATCCCTAAGTCAAGCCCAATGTCAAGAGTCACTGGTTTTAGCCTTACAGTCGTCATTGTGTGATAAAACTCCAGAAACTTCGGTATCAAGTGATGTAGGCCCAGCGCCAATTTCGGCTGATCTTTCTCGTCCAGAGACCCCTAATTTAGCAAGCCAACCAATTAATAGTGATGTTCATAACCAACTAACACCTGTACTTAAGGGAGAACCAGAACCAAACACGCCTGAGAAGACGGACTCTGACGTCGTTTATTGCTTAGACAGCGATGAGGAAATTTCTAATGAAAACGTGGTCGACCTTTCCAGTGAAGAATCTCCATTAGTTGCAGTTGTGAATGACAAATCCGAAAAACTCGACAAAGTACCATTGTCACGTTTATTCAAATGTAGTCTGTGTGGTATCATCCTGAAAAGTACCTCTGGGTTTAAAAGGCATGTATCCGCTTGCCATACAGAGGCAACAAATCTGCTTCCATGTGCATATTGTCCATTTGTGGCTCAAAGAGATCTTGTGGCCAAACACTATTTATCTGATCACTGTTTGAGTCGAAAGGAAACCACGCGACGTTATGTATGTGGTGTTTGCAACAATAAATATATTTCGTTTACATTTGTGAAAACACATTTAAAGGTAGATCATAATTTGTCGAAACTGGTTGTAACATCCAAGTTAGTTACAAATGGAGAGTACCAGTTTGTCGTAAGCGAAGCTAGTAAACAAAAACAGGTTGCGAAGAGAAAGCTTTCCAATGATAATGAGGATAAAAGTTTACAGCCTGTGTCTAAAATGAAAAAAATTGGCCCGAATTATGTGAATCTATTACCCATTAACCCAATTCTCGATGAATTAGTTTACTGTTCCCTCTGTGAATTTAGTACAAAAGTTCGGTTGAATATGGTCAGACATCTCCAACTTCACACTGAACAGCAGCCAGTACCGCAAACAGCTCCAGTCAATCCCGTTCCCCACTTGGAAACAAACGAAAAACACTTTGATAAAATGGTTAATCTCGCTTCCAGTTCTATAGCGTCTAGAGCTCCGGAAAAATTGAATAAAACTGATCGGCATCCGGTGGTTAATCTACTCATACCTCCTGAAGCAGCTTCACGGTATCCTAAATACGTACCGGATCGACAACGGTATACGTGCGGTGCTAAAGGATGTTGTTACATATCTGTAGATGAAACGATGCTAAAATACCATTGGGAGACATTACATTCAGGCACAAATGACTTCCACTGCGTACATTGCCCGCCTTACCAACACTTGGATACGACCAAGCCATTAACCGCCTGTCGAATAATTGCTCACCTTAAAATGCACGATATTAGATTATATGCGTGTTCATCCTGTTCCTATTATCATCACAGAAGACAGGTGCTTGATAAACATATTGCTGAGATCCATAGTACGGGTCATGTTATGGTGGTTAGAGAAGAAAGTGTTTCCCAAACTCTAAATGTAAGTCAGCCATCAACAGTAGCACCAACAATGGATTTGAAGCCGTGGCAATGCGGGCTTTGCAAATTCAAGAGCATGCTCCGCCCTGAAGTGGTGGAGCACTGTGCCAAAATTCATCAGTCTAAGATGCAATACAAATGCACGTACTGTGCTTTTCGAACATCGACCTTAGAAAATATTACGAAACACCAGTCCAAATCGCACGCTGGCAAAGCCCAGGAGACATTCTATTTTTACTATCGTGAAGGGTCTATTCCCGATGAGCCTGATGGTACTCCGCGGTGGCAGAAGCAACGACAGAAAAGTAGTGCTACTGAAACTGAAGTAAAAACTGAGACGATAGAACGTACAGAATTGGAATCGCAAAGTGAATTAACGAAAAACGTGCCACAATCTCCTGCGAGACCTACAGTAGACTTAAATATAGTAAAACAAGACCCAGATGCAGTAACTGTACCTGCACACACTACGCAAGATCTATGCAAAACATTTGGTCAGTTCTGTGAACCCAATGGCTTGAAGTATAAATGTCCATTATGTAAAAATACCGTAGAAGATAGCAGGGAATGCTATGCAATCTCATTTATATGAAGAATTGCAGTGTAGAAAGTAAGTATAACCCAGAATCTGATAAAGCTGATAGTTTCTTAAACATATGAAGTAAATCTGAATTTAAAGTATGTGACTTGTAATTAGTTAGCTATAACTAAAAAAAAAATGATTTTCAGGTGGGGCTGCGGATTTTGTTCCTATAAGGCGTTCCATAAAAATGGTCTCAATGATCACATGCTTACAGAACACAGAAATAATCGTGAACCTATTGAACTGCCAGTTGACGTCAGAGTAGAGACATGGATCGCGAAACTCTTGGACCATCAATTCCTCCTCATTGAGAAAAATAAACAAAATTTGACGAAACAAAGTACTGCTGTAGTACCCGTTAATTCGGCTCCTACAACATCCAAGTCCCAAGACGCACATATGAATGTTCCCGAAAGTGATAATGGGCATAGTGAGGAAGAACTTGAGAAAATGTTTGGTACTTTTGGAACATCTGAAAACAAGAGTTTCAATTGTCCTAAGTGTAGTTTAAAAATTAGAGAAGAAAGTGCTATGCGAGATCATTTAGAAATTGAATTAAACAAAATTAGGTAAGTATCATTGATTAGACAATTTCAACGCTTTTTACCTTTTAACCGACTTCAAAAAAAGGAGAATGTACTCAATTCGACTGTATTTAAATGTGTAATGCTTCAGAACTTTTACTAGGTGAACAGATTTTGATGATTTTTATTTGAAAGCTGGTGTTTCTCATGTGATCCCATATAAATTTGATGAAGATCTCACCAGTGGTTTTTGAGTTATACTTAATAATGCGTATTTAATTAACTTCGACTACATTGATGATGTTCTCATTTTATTTATATTAAGGTCGGTTTTACAAATTTTTTAATTTTAGCATTTGTTATATGTGTATTTTTTTTTTGGTAAGATTATCGGCTAATTTATTAGATCTGTTGCTTTATTTTGGATGTTGCTCATTATGACAAACAAGTATTTCAATTAATTAATATTATTCTTGAAATCTCAGGTGGTGGTGCAATAGCTGTACAGAGAAATTCCAGAACTATCACGAGGCGCAATTTCATTGTAAAAGTGTTCACCCAGGAATAACTGCTCGGGCCATCGAAGCAGTTAGGAACGTGGGGATGCATTCTGCTTGGATTTCTGCAGTTATACGCGCGCAAAAACTTAGTATGAACCACCTACCCGTAACAGAAAACACCGACTCGGACGAAACCATGGCAAATAGTCTTGCACAAGATAATTCTCTATTAGTAGTTCGATACGAAGAGAGGGTTCCTACACCAGACATACAGGTAATTCCATCCAGGACTTCAGGCGCTGAGAGTGATGAAGATGAAGAAAAACTAGTTATTGACGAAGTGTTTAATAAGGTGGCCTCCAAACAGTGCCCATTCTGCATTTATACATGCCAGGACATCAGGGAGTTAAAGGCACATGTGGTGGGTCAGCATAATAATATTAAGCCTTACTTCTGTTTCTACTGCGATTTCAACGGTTATAGAAAGACTGTGGTGAACTCCAGACATGTAAGTCAAAAACATAAAGACAAACCTCTGGTGTTCTTGACCAAGGGTCAGAGGATTTTGGGTGGCCCTACAAGCGCTAATGCTGTATCGGTATCAGCACCAGTTGCAGTGAAAGATGATGCTACAAGACTGATTTGTTTGCGATGTGAAAAACCATTTAACGAAAACGAAGCGAAGACGCACTTTCACGACAATACAAAGCCTAAATTTGCAAAAACGGGCCAGACGGTTGTAAAGTGCCGCGTGTGCTTGACTCTTCATGAAAATATAGATGAGGCAGCTGCTCATCATCATACAAGCCACCCAAATAACACTTTTAAGTATATAACTTTTAAGTTGCATTGTAACAAGAGAAGCATCTTCTCCTGTGCATACTGCGATCAGAATTTCTCAGTTTGGGCAGACCTAAAAGTCCATTGGAGGCTAGTCCATAGCTCATTGCCGTTTAAGTTTAACAAAGGTCAATGTGCAGGTACTGCTTCTGATGTAGTTATAAATTTGTCTGATGATGAGGAGACAGGAGTAAAGAGAAAGAGTGAAAGTATACTAATAAACCCATCTCCTTCAAAGATGTGCGCAAGAAAATCTACCACGAAATTACCAATTCAGGTAGTAGCAAAGAAATCCACTACGAAACTACCATTTAACCTTGAATCTGATTCGGATGCTATGGAATATTCGTTCTATGGATCGAAGCCTCAAGTAGATGATTTGGATAATGTCACAACAAACATGTCTTTCTGTAATACGGTTGTGCCATTTACATTTAAGAAACTGAGTGAAGTCATTCGTATTAATCCTACAGTGCTTGTAGAAGATATCAAGAAGTGATTGGAACTGGATGCTATTTGGTGACGTCAATTGTCATTGCGTATTAGGATTGTATTGTTTTAAGCCAAAGTTTCTCATCTGATCGATGGCTATCCCAATCTGTGATTACTGAGACATTCTCTTTAAATTTTATTAAGGGTTTTGTACCTATTTAAGTATCAAATAATTTTATAATGTTTTTCTTGTGTTTAATTAATATAATTAATGCTAATTAATATAATTACTTATTTTGGTAATTTTATACTATCGCGGTCACCTCGTTTTTTGGCTCTAGAAAATCGAAAAATCATCCGATTTCCATGAATTTTTTTTTAAATCTTCATCTTTGCGGCGGATTTATGGAAAAAAAATTAGTAAAATTCTCACCTCAAAATTTCATTACTTTTATGACTAAATGTGATCATAAACGAAATTCTTCGAATATAATCGTTCATAATTTTTTTGAAAAGCGTTACACGCAGTTTGTATATTTGTTTTCTTTATCTACACAAAAAACAAACATTTAAAAAAGGCATTGAAAAATGTTTTTTTATTAATTTTATATCTCACTAAGTTTTAGACTTTAAATGTTATCATAAACGCTCTAGAAAATAGAGAAATTATCCGACTTCGATGAAATTTTTTTAAATTGTCGTTTTTACGGAAAAGATCAAAATAAAAAGAATTAACTATGTTGTATGTATTCAAAAATAAATCAATAACTTATATTATCCTCGAAAAAATCTTGTAACAAAATAATAAAAATTATGCAATCTTTGACTGTGATTGATATATCTTAATCTAAATAACGCACATTTTAAAAAAATGAAAAAAAAAACTTTGAAAAGAAAATCACATAATAATGTTTATCTAAAACTTTTTTAGCGTAGCGAGCTAGGTACTTTGGACATCCCGACTCGGACACGCTAGGTTAGAAGGAGATCCTATTGCCATCTCCCTCGTGGTTTATTTTTTATAAACCACTCAGAAGTAGGAGTCCTGTAGGTAGGGCTCCATCGACCGGACTTCCCTCGACTGCACTACGTGGAGCTCGCCACCTAACCTTACCTTTCCGAGTCGGAATGCCCTAAGTCCCGATCCCGAGCTCGCATCACTCGATCTTACACTCCATAAAAAATTTAGAAACATACATTTTTTATTTTTTTTAAATGTTCTTTTTTTGTGTATATTATGAAAAAAATATAACAACTTCATTTGATTATCTAAAAATAAAGTTATCAACAATTATACGTGAATGAGTGCATTTTCATGAACATTTAAAGCCTTGAAACCAGTATAATTTTTTTTCTGCCGTAATTTTTCGATTTTCTGGAGCCAAAAAACGAGGTGACCGCGATAGTAGAAATTACCGGTATTTTTATTTATTGTGTAAGTACTTGGGTATATATAGTCATTTAATAAATATTTTTAATTTCATGTTTTATTTGAAAAGTTTTTCTCCTTCCGAATCTTATTTCCATTTAATAAAATCACCTATTCAATAAAATATATTATATATTTATATAAATACATAATACTTGATTATATAACTATATCACTTAAGAATACTATAATGATACTATAATCACAGAATAATATAATGACATTATAGATTTGTGAATATACTAGCACAAGATATTTAAAACATTAGTTAACAAATATTTAATTTTTTATACAAAAATACATAATATAAATATATCTATTTCTAACAGAATAATATAATAACGTAATAGATTTATAAATATATATTATAGCACAAGATATTACGTATATTTATAATTTAAATAAAATATTAGTTATCAAATATAAGTAACTTTATATTTCTCTCTTTGTAAATTATTAATAAATAATTCTAAACGCAACCTAAATATTAATTTTACGACTATGTCTACTACACTCAGCGTCACAAAAATCGCACCTCTCTGAGTTTGCGCGAAAAATGGCTGTAATGGCTAGAAACGAATTATATTTATATAAATATTGGTATGTTTGAAATGGGTATTTGAATAGCTTTACATTATTAATAAAAAAATCATGAAATCATTAAAACATTTATCATTATAGGGCGTCAAAAATAAATACTCTCAAATGCTCGTTAGTAAGGGCGCTAGTTACACCACCTAAAAAGGGTATAAAAGGGTCGATCTGGATGAAATATGGGTCTGTCGTAATTTAGACTTTGCAGTGAACACACGTGAACAAGTAACCCAAGTAAGAACAAGTAAAGATGGGCACCAGCTCTGAAGAAGCCGCTCAAGTGATTGCCCTATTGCAGTCGGGGATGCCGTGTAGTGGCGGTTGAGAATATCCACTACCCCATATCTTCCCGTGGGTGTCGTAAAAGGCGACAGAGGGAGACAGGCAGGAGATGGGCAGCAGCATCTTCCTGATAACAACTGTGACGTAATAAAAAAACTGCGGTTGCCAACCCGCTCGCCAAGCGTGGCAACTATGGCAAATACCCCCCAATGAATAAATACACAAACAGACGGCCCCCAGTCCCCGGCGGCCCCGCTATTCCTGGCTACGGTGGCGACCATGGTAACGGCGGGGCAGGGGGTGCTAAGAATCTCCGGTGGAGGTTCGGTTGCCACCTACGACGACTCGACCTGGCAACATATAACGCACGCACCCTGAGGACTGACGAGAAGATACTAGAGCTGGAAGAAGAGGTAGACAAGTTGCGCTGGCATATTATTGGATTATCCGAGGTCCGAAGAGAGGGGGAGGACACGGCAATCCTCGAGTCCGGCACCTTGTTCTATCACCGGGAGGGCGACCATCTGTCCCAAGGAGGTGTTGGATTTATCGTCCACAAGTCTCTCGTCAACAACGTTGTAAAGATTGGGAGTGTGTCGACGAGGGTCGCGTACCTGATACTCAGAATCACCAAACGGTATTCGCTGAAGGTCATTCAGGTTTACGCACCAACCTCGGCACATCCCGATGAGGAGGTGGAGGAAATGTATGAGGATATTTCCAGAGCCATACATTCCTCCAAAACCCACTACACGGTGTTGATGGGAGACTTCAACGCAAAACTAGGCACAAGAGAAAGCGGTGAGCTGAAGGTAGGGAAATTTGGAGTAGGGCAACGGAACCGAAGGGGCCAGCAGCTGACCGACTTTATGGAGAAAGAGGGACTCTTTATGATGAACTCTTTCTTCCAGAAGCGGCCCCACATGAAGTGGACCTGGTCGAGCCCCGACGGTTCGACAAAAAATGAGATTGACTTCATTATGACGACCAGACGCCAACTGTTCAGTGATGTCTCAGTGATCGCAAGGGTGAAAACTGGCAGCGATCACCGAATGGTTAGAGGCACACTGAACCTAAACGTTAAGTTGGAGAGGTCTCGTCTAATGAAGTCAACGCTCCGTCCCCCTCGTGCTCTAATCCAGAATCCCGAAACCTTTCAGCTCGAGTTACGTAACCGCTTCCAGTGCCTAGAAGATTGCAATGCAGTGGACGATATGAACGACAAGCTCGTGGAAACTGTCCATGCGGTCGGAGCTAAGTTCTGCAAGACCCGCCGCAGAAGAACACAAAAACTCTCCGATCACACTCTTAATCTCATGGCTGTTAGACGGGAGATGAGGCTGCAATCGTCAACAGATTTGACAGCATACAGGCAACTGAACAGACAGATCTCCAAATGCATGCGGCGAGACTTACGCAACTTTAATACTTCTCGTATTAAAGAAGCGATCGAGCGGAACCAGGGCTCCAAAGTCTTTGCCAGAGATCTGTCTGCCAGAAAGAGCCAACTGTCAAAGCTGAAGACTGAGTGTGGCAACATCGTTTCCGGGACACCTGAGATTTTGAGTGAGATTGAGAGGTTCTATGGGCAGCTGTACAAATCATCGTTGGAGCCACACGCAAGTGTGAGTAACGATCCAAGAGCAAGTCTTATCCGACACTATTCCGATGATATCCCGGACGTCAGTCTGAGCGAGATTAGAATGGCTCTCCACCACCTTAAAAACGGCAAGGCCCCGGGCGAGGATGGAATTACAGCGGAGCTTCTGAAAGCGGGTGGAAAACCGGTACTTGAAGTCCTTCGGAAGCTCTTCAATTCCGTCCTCCATGGTGGCACTACTCCGGAGGCGTGGAGCAGAAGCGCGGTGGTTTTGTTCTTTAAGAAAGGCGACAACGCTCTCTTGAAGAACTACAGACCGATTTCCCTTCTGAGCCGCGTCTACATGCTATTTTCGAGAGTCATTACGAATCGTCTCGCACGCAGACTCGACGACTTCCAGCCTCCCGAACAAGCCGGTTTCCGAAAAGGCTTCAGTACCATAGACCACATACATACCCTGCGGCAGATTGTACAGAAGACCGAAGAGTACAATCTGCCACTTTGCATGGCATATGTGGACTATGAGAAAGCCTTTGATTCCGTCGAAATTTGGGCGGTGCTACAGTCCCTTCAGCGGTGCCAAGTTGACTGTCGGTACAGTACGACAGAGTTCGAAACCTATCCAACTGCAGAGAGGTGTAAGACAGGGTGATGTTATATCCCCGAAACTCTTCACCGCTGCGTTGGAAGACGTTTTCAAGCTACTGGACTGGAAAGGATACGGTATTAACATCAATGGCGAGTACATCACTTACCTTCGATTTGCCGACGATATTGTCATTATGGCAGAATCGCTGGAGGACTTAAGCATTATGCTCAATGACCTCAATAGTGCCTCCCAACGGATAGGTCTTAAGATGAACATGGACAAAACAAAGATCATGTTTAATGTCCATGTCACACCTATGCCGGTAGTTGTTGGGAGCACTATGCTCGAAGTTGTTGACGAGTACGTTTACCTGGGACAAATAGTCCGACTAGGTAAGTCCAACTTCGACCGAGAGGTCAATCGACGGATTCAACTCGGCTGGGCAGCGTTCGGGAAATTACGACATATCTTTTCGTCAGGTATACCTCAATCTCTAAAAACTAGATTGTACAACCAGTGCGTGTTGCCAGTGATGACTTACGGATCTGAGACGTGGTCCTTCACTGCTGGCCG